TGCGGAGTCTGGGGGTGCGGAGCCTGGGGGTGCTGGACCTGAGAGTGCTACGTCTGAGGGTGCTGAGCCTGGGGGTGCTGCGACTGAGGGTGCTGAGACTGGGGGTGCTACTCCTGGGCGTTCGGCGCCTGGAGACCCTCCTTCTTCCCAGCAGCTGCGTGAGTGGTACTCGCGGTATTGCAGCCTCAGGAGAGGTGCTGCTGCAGCTGGTGCACGTGGTTCCCCGCCTCGGCGGGAGCTACCCTCTCCCCAGCGACTCCGAGAGTGGTACGCTCGGCGCTGCAGTCTCCGGAGTGGCGCTACTGGTGCTGGGGACCCTGGCGTTGGAGCTGCTGCTGGTGCTGAGGACCCTGGAGATGGAGCTGCTGCTGGTACTGAGGACCCTGGAGTCGGAGCTGCTGCTGGTGCTGCGGACCCTGGAGTTGGAGCTGCTACTGGTGCTGAGGACCCGGGCGTTGGAGCTGCTGCTGGTGCTGCGGACCCGGGCGTTGGAGCTACTGCTGGTGCTGCGGACCCTGGCGTTGGAGCTGCTGCTGGTGCTGAGGACCCTGGAGTTGGAGCTGCTGCTGGTGCTGAGGACCCTGGCGTTGGAGCTGCTGCTGGTGCTGGCGCTACTGGAGCTACTGGTGGTCTTGCGGGCGCGGTAGCTGGTGACCCTGGAGCTGAGGCTACTGGTGGTCTCTCTGCTGGTTCTGGCGACGCTACTCGGCCGCAGCCGTACTTCGTTCCACTCCTTTAGCAGGTTCTTGGTCAGTTGCCTCCTGCCTTACCACTCCCTGGTCCTTCTCCTTACACTGGTCCGACTGGAGGTCTTACAGAGCGTCGTGAGCCTGAGTCTCGTCCTGCGTCGCCCGAGTCTCGTCGTGCGTCGCCTGTTCGTGCTGCTCACACTGGTCGTCGTGTCCCTCGTCAGCGTCCTCCTGCTGTCCCAGGCACTCACCAGATGGCGCTTCGTCCTTCCTCTGCTCCTCAGCGCGTCCCCCTGCCGTCTCCTCCTGCGTCCTCTCTTCCTGCTCTTGCAGACCCGGAGTCTGACTCCCTTCGTGCTGCCAGTCCTACTGTCACGCGTCTCCTTGCCGCTGTTGTCACTGACCCTTCCTTTGAGTCCTCTGCTGCGTCTGCTCTAGTCGCTGAGTTAGTTGACTTTGCTGCCGCTTGTCGTCTAGACTACGCCGCTAGCCTTGTCGCTGAGTCTGAGTCTGAGTCTGTCTGTCCTCCGTCCGTCGGGGGTGAGTGTGCTCTTGGCACGGACGTCCTTGAGGACAGGCAGGAGGAGTTTGAGTGTTTTGCCGCTGCTTTACCTCATCTCGTGTCCATGCTAGTTGCCCCTGAGGGAGACCCGGATGCACCAGACATCCCGACTCCGCGCTCTTACGCAGAGGCGATAGAGGGTCCCTACTCCTCTCAGTGGCAGACAGCCATGGACGCAGAGATGGCTTCCTGGAAGTCCACAGGCACCTACGTCGACGAGGTTCCCCCACCTGGGGCGAACATCGTCAGTGGCATGTGGATTTTCAGGGTGAAGCGGCCGCCGGGTTCTCCGCCTGTCTTCAAGGCGCGTTACGTTGCACGAGGCTTCAGTCAGCGAGAGGGAGTTGACTTCTTCCAGACCTTCTCCCCGACCCCGAAGATGACCACTCTTCGGGTTCTGCTGCACGTCGCCGCTCAGCGTGACTACGAGCTCCACTCTCTTGACTTCAGCACTGCTTTCCTACAGGGCAGCCTGCACGAGGAGATCTGGCTGCGCCGCCCACCTGGCTTCACTGGGTCGTTCCCTCCTGGTACCCAGTGGAGCCTCCGGCGGCCAGTCTACGGTCTCCGACAGGCGCCGCGTGAGTGGCACGACACACTGAGGACTACACTTGCGGCTCTTGGGTTCGCTCCTTCTACTGCTGACCCGTCGCTGTTTCTACGCACCGACACTTCACTGCCGCCGTTCTACATCCTCGTGTACGTCGACGACTTGGTCTTTGCCACTGCTGACACTGCGGCGCTCGCCCACGTGAAGTCGGAGCTGCAGAAGAGACACACGTGCACAGACCTGGGTGAACTGACAAGCTATCTTGGCTTGCGGATCACCCGGGACAGAGCACGGCGCACCATCACCTTGACTCAGTCACACATGGTGCAGCAGGTCCTTCAGCGCTTCCGCTTCACGTACTCCTCGCCTCAGGCCACTCCTCTGCCTACCGGTCACTCGCTCTCAGCTCTGCCTTCGGATGAGTCCGTAGAGCCGAGTGGCCCGTATCCAGAGCTTGTGGGCTGCCTCATGTACCTGATGACCTGCACTCGACCTGACCTTGCATACCCTCTTAGCATCCTTGCACGCTATGTCGCTCCTGGTCATCACCGGAAAGAGCACATGGATGCCGCTAAGAGGGTGTTGCGCTACTTGTGCAGTACGTCGGGCATGGGCCTAGTGCTTGGAGGACGAGACCGAGTTGTACTCGCTGGGCACTCAGACGCTTCTTGGGCTGACGACCAGGCTACTCAGCGGTCGTCTCAGGGTTACACCTTCAGCCTTGGCTCTGGTTCAGTTTCTTGGCGTTCTACACGCTCGTCTTCTGTTCTCAGCTCCAGTTGTGAGGCTGAGATCTACGCCACAGCCATGGCTGCACAGGAGTTACGCTGGCTCACCTACCTGCTGACCGACTTGGGAGAGCGGCCTCGTTCTCCTCCAGTGCTGTACGTCGACAACAAGGCTACCATTGCCTTGTGTGAGGAGCACAGACTGGAGCACAGAACGAAGCATATCGCTCTGCGCTACTTCCTTGCTCGAGAGCTGCAGCAGCGTGGTCAGCTTCGTCTGCGTTACGTGGCCACTCGGGCCAACACTGCTGATGTGTTCACCAAGGCGCTTCAGCCTTGTGACCATCAGCGCTTCTGTACTGTTCTAGGCCTTGTGCCTACTGGTCCTCACTTGCTTACTTCTTGACTCGGCTTGTACTGTGATCTCTACATATATACCTGCATGTTTACTCTTGCTAGGTTGTGATCACTGTATCTCTTGTTATATTATCAACCTGCATGTGAACTGGTCTTGTGACCACTTGCTTGTGCTCAGAATTTGTGTGGTTTCCTTGAGATCCACCCTGAGCTTGCTTTGCTTTGCTTTGACTGGTCTTGTGACCATCTGGTTGTCTCCCACTTAGCCTATGGGGGTGTGTCAAACATTATATGTTTATATATTGTGTAGGCTATAGTGGGTTTAGTCATAGGGGGTACAACAAACTTAGGGTTTCCTACTTGTACCCAACTTCTTGCTAGTTCATTCATTCTCGTGCAGTACTATCTTCTAACAAGATGACCACTCTTCGGGTTCTGCTGCACGTCGCCGCTCAGCGTGACTACGAGCTCCACTCTCTTGACTTCAGCACTGCTTTCCTACAGGGCAGCCTGCACAAGGAGATCTGGCTGCGCCGCCCACCTGGCTTCACTGGGTCGTTTCCTCCTGGTACCCAGTAGAGCCTCCGGCGGCCAGTCTACAGTCTCCGCCATGCACCCCGTGAGTGGCACGACACACTGAGGACGACTCTTGCTGCTCTTGGGTTTGCTCCTTCTACTGCTGACCCGTCGCTGTTTCTACGCACCGACACCACTCTGCCGCCGTTCTACGTTCTCGTGTACGTAGACGACTTGGTTTTTGCTACTGCTGACACTGAGGCACTCGCCCGCGTGAAGTCGGAGCTGCAGAAGAGACACACGTGCACAGACCTGGGTGAGCTGACAAGCTATCTTGGCTTGCGGATCACCCGGGACAGAGCACAGCGCAGCATTACCTTGACTCAGTCACACATGGTGCAGCAGGTCCTTCAGCGCTTCCGCTTCACGTACTCCTCGCCACAGCCCACTCCTCTGCCTACGCGCCACTCGCTCTCAGCTCTGCCTTCGGATGAGTCCGTAGAGCCGAGTGGCCCGTATCCAGAGCTTGTGGGCTGCCTCATGTACCTGATGACCTGCACTCGACCCGACCTTGCATACCCTCTTAGCATCCTAGCACGCTATGTCGCTCCTGGCCGACACAGGAAGGAGCACATGGCTGCAGCGAAGAGGGTGTTGTGCTACGTGTGCAGTACGTCAGGCATGGGGCTCGTGCTTGGAGGGCGAGGTCCAGTGGTCCTCACTGGTCACGCTGACGCTTCTTGTGCTGACGACTTGGCTACTCAGCGGTCGTCACAGGGTTACACCTTCAGCCTTGGTTCCGGCTCTGTTTCGTGGCGGTCTACCCGCTCGTCTTCTGTTCTCGGCTCCAGTTGTGAGGCTGAGATCTACGCAGGGGCCATGGCTGCACAGGAGTTACGCTGGCTCACCTACCTGCTGACCGACCTAGGAGAGCCGCCTCGTTCTCCTCCAGTTCTGTACGTAGACAACAAGGCCATGCTGGCCTTGTGACAGGAGCACAGACTGGAGCACAGAACGAAGCACATTGCTCTTCGCTACTTCCTTGCACGTGAGCTGCAGCAGCGTGGTCAGCTGCGCCTTGCTTACGTGGCCTCTCAGGCCAACATTGTGTTACGAGACTAACTTAACGAGTAACTTGGTTTAACTAAGGGCCTAGGCTTAGTAGCCTAGGCCAAGCGGGTGTCGAGTAGTTTGTGCCAAGGAGAATTGAAAATGGTTGGAGGTTCACTATAGCACACGAGTACATATAACAACCTAACAGAGGTGAAAGCGGTGCACCACCATACAAGGGAATTACACAAGAGCTACACTACAGGCAGATTATACTAAATAGGTATAAATCTATTGTGACACACCCCCTATCTGCCTGAAGTGCATAACCATGTGCAGAGCCCCCCTTGAAGGGGTACACCTGTAAAACCCCATTACAGGGCGTGGGAACACCGGCAAGGGGCCCCCACTGAAGCTGACAAGCAGCAACCACCAAGCAGCATCTGAACCACCGCGGTGGAACAGGTGCCCGGCTGCGGTTGAACGCCCCGCAGCTGGTGCACGGTGTGCGAGGAGCACGGGTAGCGGGTAGCGGGTTCGGGTAGCAACTAGGTGCTGTACTGGACGGGCCGCACGGGGGTGACGAGCAGCACGAGACCGGGCAGCACAGACCGGGTGGGGCATGAGCGAGAACTGACAGCACGGGTGGGGCACCAACGAGTACGGACAGCACGGGTAGGGCACAAACGGGCAGAGCGGGGCAGCAAGGGCAGAACAGGGCAACACGGGCTGAACGGGGCAGACACGGGCTGAACGGGGCAACACGGGCAGAACAGGGCATAACACGGGCTGAACGGGGCAGGACACGGGCTGAACGGGGCAACACGGGCAGAACGGGGCAACACGGGCTGAACGGGGCAACACGGGCAGAACGGGGCAGGACACGGGCTGAACGGGGCAAGACACGGGCTGAACGGGGCAACACGGGCAGAACGGGGCAACACGGGCAGAGCGGGGCAGGACACGGGCTGAACGGGGCAACACGGGCAGCAGAACGGGCCAGGACACAGGCTGAATGGGGCAACACGGGCAGAACGGGGCAGGACACGGGCTGAACGGGGCAACACGGGCAGAACAGGGCAAAACGCGGGCTGAACGGGGCAGGACACGGGCTGAACGGGGCAACACGGGCAGAACGGGGCAACACGGGGACAACGGGGCTGCACAGGAAGAACGGGGCAGGACAAGGGCTGAATGGGGCAACACGGCACGGGAACGGGCACAACACAGGCAGAACGGGGCAGCACGGGGAGAGCGGGGCAGCACGGGAACACGAGGGGCAGCACGGGGAGAGCGGGGCAGCACGGGAACACGAGGGGCAGCACGGGAACACGGGGGGCAGCACGGGAACACGGGAGGGCAGCACGGGAACACGGGGGGCAGCACGGGAACACGGGGGGCAGCACGGGAACACGGGGGGCAGCACGGGAACACGGGGGGCAGCACGGGAACACGGGGGGCACCGGGTACGGACAGCACGGGTGAGACTGGCGGGGCACAACCGGGTACGGACAGCACGGGTGAGACTGGCGGGGCACAACCGGGTACGGACAGCAAGGACACGTGAAACACGAGCGGACAGCACGGGCATGGGCACGGGGCAAGGGATGAGAGGAGGAGGAGGCGGATGATGCTGCAGTTGAAATTTCACCACCCACACCCCTTGAACCTCCCCCCCCACAGCAGCAGCAGCGGCGGAGAGAGAGAGGGGGAGGTGTGGTGGCAGTAGCTGCAGATGGATTACCCACACCCTCAACCTCCCCCTTACATGAGCCGCCAACCCCGCCACTCCCCCTCCCCCAGCCGTCCCCTTCGGGCCAACACCACACCTCCTCCCCTTCCCGCTGGATACGGAGCCGGAGATGGGGGTGGGGTGGCAGTTGTCGGTGCGGGGGGGCGGGATCTGGGGCAGAACGGCGGTCTGGGTGCAGGTACGGGGTTCGGACAGGTCTCGCGGACGGGGGCACGGACGTCGGCGTGATGCGGATGGCGTACGGGCGACGGGCGGGGTGCGGGGTGCGGGTGGCGCACGGGCGGCGGGCGGGGTGCGGGGTGCAGGTGGCGTACGGGCGACGGGCGGGGTGCGGGGTGCGGGTCACGGACGATTTGGCGCGTGCAATGGCGTAGCAGCAGCTTCTCCCGCCACTCCCACCACTCTCGCCACCCCCGCCACTCCCTTCACAGCAGTTGCGAAGTCGGCGGGAGGGCGGGCGGGGACCTGGCGACGGGCAGTGGAGTGCGTACGGGTGGCGGGGATCTGGCGACGGGCGGCAGTGCGACGGGACGGGCGACGGGCTGCAGTAGCGGAAATCGCGCGGGTGGCGGGCTGCAGTAGCGGGTAGTGCGCGGGGTCGACGGGGGCGCAAACGACGGCGCGAAGCAGCGGGTCGACGATCGCCGTCACTCCCGCCGCGACCGTAGCGTCCGTCATGCCTACCGTGACGAATTTTGCTACGGGCGAGCGACGGGAAAGGACGAACGGGGCCGCGATTTGCTGGTTAACGGGACGCGCCATCGTGAAGGTTAACGGTGGGCCCTTCAGAAATAGGTCGGGAACGACCTAGCTCTATACCATGTTACGAGACTAACTTAACGAGTAACTTGGTTTAACTAAGGGCCTAGGCTTAGTAGCCTAGGCCAAGCGGGTGTCGAGTAGTTTGTGCCAAGGAGAATTGAAAATGGTTGGAGGTTCACTATAGCACACGAGTACATATAACAACCTAACAAAGGTGAAAGAGGTGCACCACCATACAAGGGAATTACACAACAGCTACACTACAGGCAGATTATACTAAATAGACATAAATCTATTGTGACACACTGCGGATATCTTTACCAAGGCACTCCAGCCTTGTGACCATCAGCGTTTCTGTACTATGTTAGGTCTTGTGCCTACCTGGCCTCACTTACTTACCTCTTGACTTTGCTTTGTACTGTGATCTATATATACCTGCACCTGCCTGTTTACCTTTGCTAGGTTGCGATCACTGTCTTGCTTGTTCACCTTGATTTATAATCCTGCATGTGAACTGGCCTTGTGGCCTTTGAACTTGTGCTCGGAATGTGTGGTGACGTTGTGATCCACCCTGAGCTTGTCTTGCTTGACTGGTCTTGTGACCCCTTGTTCTCCCCCACTTTGCCTGTGGGGGTGTGTCAAACATTCATGCTATAGTCTTGCTAGGCTGTAGTGGGGTAGACACTATGGGGTACAGTTTCCTAGGGTTTCATATTTGTACCCAACTCATTTCTAGTCATTCTCATTCCTCGTAATTATTTCACACCTTTGGCGCTTGCTGATTCGAGGGCGAATTGTTTAGAGTACTGAAAGCTGATGCGAGGAATTGAAACAAGGCTGGCAATGCCAACCAAACTCGTATGAGGGTTGGGTTGGGGGAACACACCGCGGAAGGGCGGAAATCAAGCGAGGGTGCAAACAGAGAAGCGGAGCTAAAAAACTGAGTCGATCAACCTGACAAAAGCGAGTGATAATCCAGGGAGAGGAGCTTCGACCTCAAACCAGGTGCTAACGACATCACAAAGGCAGTAATCTAAGCAACCATTCCCGTCCGTCACTACGACATAGCCCACGAGTAGTGTCACCCCGACTAGCTCGCGGCGTCGTCGCCTGCGCGGTGCGTCGTTTTGCCATCCTAGCTTGCCCCTTTCGTTTTTCCCATGGCATTTTCACTTTAAAAACCTGTTCCGTCGCTTTCGTCTGGCGACTCTCCCCTGCATTTCCGCCCTAACTCACCCGCTGTCAGCGAAGCATGCGATGGGCGTGGCGGGGCAACGCCATCCGGTGGGCGTGGACGTGTCGCTACCCGCGCGCCTCCTCCTCCGCCTATCTTGTCGCGCCTATGAGCGCTCCTGCTGCGCCTTCCGCTGCAGCACTGCGCGGTGAGGGCGAGGGGCAGCGAGAAGCCGCGGGAGTAACGGTTGCGGGCAGAGGCGCTGCGATGGCTAGAAGGGAAGCGATTTGTGTTCCCGGCGCATCGCGTGCTGCATGCGCCGTCGCGGCGAAATGCGAGCCTAAGTTGTACTGCGACGTCGCGGGCGTAACCCGGATCCAGTGCAGGCGAGATAAACACCGGGCGGGCGCGATGAATTCGATGGTCGTAACCCTAAGCCTCACATTTGACGACGGCGTAACTGTGCTGCTCTCGCAGTCTAGTTTATCGTTCGCCTATGCTAATGCTCTGATGATGGCGGGTTGTGGTTGCTAAGCTATTACCTGCTATTGGTGTCGTGGTAGGAGAGGCAACCGCGTCATGGTTCACAAACTGGCTGGTTGTGACTCAAGTTCCCAACTCCCGGTTGGGCAGTCTCATAAGGCGTTCCCACAGTTTCCCGACACTGAAGTTTGCCCACCAGGCTCATGAATTGGCGGAATGGTTGTCAGAGTGGGGTACTGCCCCACTCTGGACACCGCGTCCTTGCGAGCCATTACGACCAGATTGCGACATTCTGACAATTTTCCCTCTCAAAAATATACTCGCAGCCAATAAAACTCCACGTCTGAAAATCGATTGGACTCAACGATTCTGCTGGGATTTCTGACTCCCGCGTATAACGGTGCCCGAAATTTGGGAATGGCGTTGACTTGGAAACCTTCGCTGCTAGGGAATGGCGTTGACTTGGAAAACGGGCAGCTGAACTTCGTTCAATAGCACATAAACGTGGGTTGGGTCGTGGTCCATTTCGGATGGCGTCGTGGGCCGTCAGATGTGATCGTACACGGTCGTGGATGAACACTTGCACGACCGATTTGATGGGAATCCTGGTGGGAAAACTTCGAGCCGCATGTTGGCCAATTTTACAAATTTGGCAACATTGTGAGCCGCGTGGGCAAACTTCAGTGTCGGGAAACTGTGGGAACGCCCTCTCAATTGACGACGGGGGAGAAGCAACCCGCGCAAGTCCGCCAACACTAAAGCGTGGTTCGCTCGGACTCACAACACAAACAGGGTAACCACGTGGAGGCAAGTGATAAACCTTTGCTTCCACCCCCCCCCAATGTGCACCCTTGCTTTAAAGCTGCGGTCTACATTCTAAAAGGTATTTTCGGAGGGTAATCTAAGTGCACACCCTTTGGCCCAACATGATTCGAGAGCGAAGTGAGCTTCTTCCCCAAACACCTGTGCGAGGAATTCAAACACCGCTGGCGATGACAAACGATTTCGTAAGCTGGTTTGCTTGGGGGAAGTAATCCGCGGAATCGCGGAAGACCCTGCGCCCAACACAAAACAACCAAGCGGGGAAGAAAACGCTTGCCCTGATAACCATAACTCCCAAACGTGCAACTTCACCTCACCACTCTAGGCTGCAAATCCCCGCTGGCTGCAGGCAGCGCATCAGAGTGCACCACGCCACCAAGTGATACACTGTCGCGAAATACGCGGGGAGTGCGTAGTGTAGTGTTTGTTTCACGCAGCCACGCTGATAGCCGCGATTCCTTCTAGCAGCGTGTAGCGTAACGTCTGGTTCACGCCACCCCACTCAAACATGAACGATTCTGGTCAGGTGCGCGTACCGTATCGTCTTCTTCAAGCCACCACGCTAAGCCGCGAATCCCGCACGCTACGTCTGTTTCGCGACGCCACGCTAAGAGCCGCGATTCCCGCTAGCGTCACCCGTAGCGCCTGTTTCACGCCACCCCACCACACAGTCGCAATTCTCGCCATGTGCAACTGTCGTATCGCCTTTCCCACGCCACCACACTCGCAGCCGCGATCGTTGCTAGGAGAGTACAGGGTAGCGGCCGTTCCTGTGGCAAACCCATTGGGGAGTGACGGAACCACGCCACTGTTTTCTCTGCCGCGTTATTAGTTAGACAGTAGTTATCGCACGTCCGATAGCCTTATGCGGCGATCCACACTCATGAAGCCATACGGGGTGCGGAGTGAACATAGGATGCCCAGCGGATTCCCAGCGCAGCGTCATCGCCTGCGAGTCGCGTCGCCTTTGTCACGGCGTCCTCGCCACCTTAGGTCGCGAGTCCCTTTTCCCCCAGGTCGCGAGTCCCTTCCCCCCAGGTCGCGAGTCCCTTCCCCCCAGGTCGCGAGTCCCTTTCCCCCTAGGTTCCGCAAGTCCCTTTCCCCCCAGGTCGCACCTCACTTTCCCCCTAGGTCGCACCTCACTTTCCCCCCAGGTCGCACCTCACTTTCCCCCCAGGTCGCACCTCACTTTCCCCCCAGGTCGCACCTCACTTTCCCCCCAGGTCGCATGTCCTTTTCCCCCAGGTCGCACCTCCCTTTCCCCTCAGGTCGCACCTCCCTTTCCCCCAGGACGCACCTCCCTGTTCCCCCAGGTCGCACCTCCTCCTCCTATCTCCTCCCGTCCCTCCTCTCTCAGCTCATTCTATCTCCTCCCTTCCCTCGACCCCAGCTTTCCCTCACGTCTCCCCCTCCTTCCCCCCATTTCACCGTTCTCTACCCCATTTCCCCACAACTTTGTCTACATTTCCCCCCTCCCCCCTTCCGCCACCCGCGTCTGCAGCCTCGTGACCGCCACGGAACCGCCAGATGCGCGTTTGACGAGATGCGCGAGATGCGGCCATTCATGCGCCAGCACCTTTCCTCATCCCTCCGAACCTTTCCTCTCCGCCCTCCGGTAGTGGCGAGTGCGGGCGTGGTGATTGAGTCTGCATTAGTCCCGTGGCAGAATGCGGGGGTGCGAGGGGCAGAGGCGTAGTGAGTGCGGGTTTAGGAAGGGAAGTGCATCTTGCACTCAACTGCGCTCACACGAACCCGCGCATTCCTCCTCATCCCTCCAATCCCCGTCATCCTCTCTCCGCCCTATCCTTCTCTCTCCCCCCTGTCCTTCTCTCTCCCCCCTGTCCTTCTCTCTCCCCCTTGTCCTTCTCTCCCCCCCCTGTCCTCCTCTCTCCCCCCTGTCTCTCTCTCTCCCCCCTGCCCTTCTCTCTCCCCCCTGTCCTTCTCTCTCCCCCCCGTCATCCTCTCTCCCCCCTGTCCTTCTCTCTCCCCCCTGTCCTTCTCTCTCCCCCCTGTCCTTCTCTCTCCCCCCTGTCCTTCTCTCTCCCCCCTGTCCTTCTCTCTCCCCCCTGTCCTTCTCTCTCCCCCCTGTCCTCCTCTCACCCCCCTGTCATCCTCCTCCCGGCCTGTCCACTCCCCTGGCGTCGACCCCATGAGCCTCAGGGTGAGCAACCTCTAGCAGACCGTGTATCTCCTCCTCTCATCCTCCTCCTCTTTCCCCCCTGTCCTCCTCTCTTCCCCGTCCTCCTCTCTCCCCCGTCCACCTCTCCCCCCCCTGGCCCCCCCAACCCCTCTCTCGGGAGATTTCCAACATTCCCTCTCACCCGTCTTCCTACCTCCTCATTTCCCTCTCCCCACTGCTTCCTATCCCCTCCTTCGGCTCCCCCTTTTCCGTCCCTACTCTCTTCCCATCTCCCAACAACTCTCATCCTCCTCCTATCTCCTCCCATCCCTCACCACCTTCCTTCTTATCACCCTCACACCCTCACTCCCCTCTTTCTATCTCCTCCCTTCCCTCTCCCCCCTCTCTCCGGAAAATTCCCCTTTCCTCCCCCCTCCAACCCCTCATTCCCATCCCTCCTTTCACTCATTTCCTCCCCTGCTCCCCCATTTCCCAGTGCGCGTGGCTGCTGCTCGCTTCGCCTGCGTTCGCCAACCGCCCTTTTGCCTCCTGCGCCTGCAGGCGCGCGTGACCGCCAGCTGCGCGTTTGACGACGCGCGCAAGATGTGCACATTCACGAGCCGCGTGACAGCAGCGTGGGTGCCAGAGGCAGAGGCGTGGCGGGTGCGGGTAACGGGAGGGAAGTGCATCTCGTACTCAACTGCTTTCGCACGAACCCTCGCATTCCTCCTCATACCTCCAAACCACTATCCATACCTTTGCTGTCATTCCCCTCAGATTCCTTTCTTTCCCCTTCCTTACCTTTCTTTCCCGTCCCTCCCCTCCTCCTCCCTGCACTTCCCTCCCCATCGTCTCCTTTCCTTTCCCTTCTAATACCTTTCCCTCACCTCCCTTCCATTCCCTTCCATTCCCTTCCCTTCCCTTCCCTTCCCTTCCCTTACCTTCCTTTCCGTCCGCGTCTCTTCTCCTCCCATGCTCCCATCTCTCATCCCTTCCTCATGCCCTGTCCTTTCCCATCTCCCCTCCCTTCCCCCATCCTTTCTGCGGATTACTATGTGCAGGGCAAAGCTGTGTCCTGCTCTCTTCAAGAAGCGGTGTTCCGGAAAAGAGACCTTTACATTATAACCAAACGTCACCAATGCCATCACTAGGATGTAAAGAACCTTTGCCAACGCTCGTCCCTTTTGGATGTCCAGAATTCTTGTTTGTGAAACTTGATGTACTTGATGTTTGGATATGGCATCTGTCCACACTATCCTAAATGTAGCTATTACCTAGCTTGTCTTGTTCATTGCTTCATAATCGACGAGCTGCACCACAGAAGGGACAGGGAAGGGGGGAAGGAGAAGCCAGGGGGAGCAGAAACAGATTGTAAGAAATTAGGGGCAAGGAAGGGGAGAGCTAGCGCACAACAACAGGGGTAACAGAGTAACAGATGCCTTATGGAGAATCTGAGGGTTTTAGAGGACAGGAAACAATGGAACAAGGGGGGAAGTAACAACAGAGTGTTGGCAGCCGGGAAACAAAAGGTAAGCTGGGGGGAAACACAGGGTAATCAGGGAAAACCACAGTTCGAGCAGGAAGGAAACAAAGGTAAGCATGGGTAAGGGAGAAACGGGAAAGAAGTTTGAGTAAGGGAGAGACGGGAAAAGGCGGAGGTGGGAGTAAGGGAGAGGGGGGAAAGAGATGGGAGCAACGAGAGAGGGGAAAGAGGTGGGAGTAAGGGAGAGGCGAGAGGGCAGAGGTGGGAGTAAGGGAGAGAGTGCACACAGGAGAATGCCCACCACACAGCCCTTCTCCTCCCCTTTTTCTCGCTGATTATTTCCTCCCCCCACTCCTAACCGCCCCCCCCTCCTCCACCCCCTTCTCACTGCTTATCCCCCACACAGCCCCATCCATTCCTTGCGTCTCTTGCAGCTAATCTACCCCCGCCTTCCGTCTGTTGACCTCCCTCGCAGATCGCTGCTACCCCTCGCACCTTCTCGCTCCCATCCCCCTATCACCTTCACGTTATCGCCTCCTCGCTGCACCCTTCACGTTTTTTACGCTACTCAATCCTGGACAGCGGTGGACAGCGTTATCCTGCTCGCATGCCTTTCTCCCGCCTCTGCTCGCTTTTTATTTCCCCGCGCCTGCTCGCCGCCCTTTCTCCCGCAGAGACTAGCTTGCTAAACCCCGCGCCGGCTTGCATGCCTTTCTCCCGCCTCAGCTCGCTTCATATCCCCCCGCGCCTGCTTGGAAATGCGGGGAGACGAGAGGGGGTTGAAGGGAGCAAGGCACTGCTACGAGAGGGGGTGGGAGGGAGCAAGGGAGAGATACGAGAGGCGGAGAGACAAGAGGGGAGTGAAGGGAGCAAGGCGGAGAGACAAGAGGGGAGTGAAGGGAGCAAGGCGGAGAGACAAGAGGGGAGTGAAGGGAGCAAGGCGGAGAGACAAGAGGGGAGTGAAGGGAGCAAGGCGGAGAGACAAGAGGGGAGTGAAGGGAGCAAGGCGGAGAGACAAGAGGGGAGTGAAGGGAGCAAGGCGGAGAGACAAGAGGGGAGTGAAGGGAGCAAGGCGGAGAGACAAGAGGGGAGTGAAGGGAGCAAGGCGGAGAGACAAGAGGGGAGTGAAGGGAGCAAGCCGGAGAGACAAGAGGGGAGTGAAGGGAGCAAGGCGGAGAGACAAGAGGGGAGTGAAGGGAGCAAGGCGGAGAGACAAGAGGGGAGTGAAGGGAGCAAGGCGGAGAGACAAGAGGGGAGTGAAGGGAGCAAGGCGGAGAGACAAGAGGGGAGTGAAGGGAGCAAGGCGGAGAGACAAGAGGGGCGTGAAGGGAGCAAGGCGGAGAGACAAGAGGGGAGTGAAGGGAGCAAGGCGGAGAGACAAGAGGGGAGTGAAGGGAGCAAGGCGGAGAGACAAGAGGGGAGTGAAGGGAGCAAGGCGGAGGGACAAGAGGGGAGTGAAGGGAGCAAGGCGGAGAGACAAGAGGGGAGTGAAGGGAGCAAGGCGGAGAGACAAGAGGGGAGTGAAGGGAGCAAGGCGGAGAGACAAGAGGGGAGTGAAGGGAGCAAGGCGGAGAGACAAGAGGGGAGTGAAGGGAGCAAGGCGGAGAGACAAGAGGGGAGTGAAGGGAGCAAGGCGGAGAGACAAGAGGGGAGTGAAGGGAGCAAGGCGGAGAGACAAGAGGGGAGTGAAGGGAGCAAGGCGGAGAGACAAGAGGGGACTGAAGGGAGCAAGGCGGAGAGACAAGAGGGGAGTGAAGGGAGCAAGGCGGAGAGACAAGAGGGGAGTGAAGGGAGCAAGGCGGAGAGACAAGAGGGGAGTGAAGGGAGCAAGGCGGAGAGACAAGAGGGGAGTGAAGGGAGCAAGGCGGAGAGACAAGAGGGGAGTGAAGGGAGCAAGGCGGAGAGACAAGAGGGGAGTGAAGGGAGCAAGGCGGAGAGACAAGAGGGGAGTGAAGGGAGCAAGGCGGAGAGACAAGAGGGGAGTGAAGGGAGCAAGGCGGAGAGACAAGAGGGGAGTGAAGGGAGCAAGGCGGAGAGACAAGAGGGGAGTGAAGGGAGCAAGGCGGAGAGACAAGAGGGGAGTGAAGGGAGCAAGGCGGAGAGACAAGAGGGGAGCGAAGGGAGCAAGGCGGAGAGACAAGAGGGGAGCGAAGGGAGCAAGGCGGAGAGACAAGAGGGGAGTGAAGGGAGCAAGGCGGAGAGACAAGAGGGGAGTGAAGGGAGCAAGGCGGAGAGACAAGAGGGGAGTGAAGGGAGCAAGGCGGAGAGACAAGAGGGGAGTGAAGGGAGCAAGGCGGAGAGACAAGAGGGGAGTGAAGGGAGCAAGGCGGAGAGACAAGAGGGGAGTGAAGGGAGCAAGGCGGAGAGACAAGAGGGGAATGAAGGGAGCAAGGCGGAGAGACAAGAGGGGAGTGAAGGGAGCAAGGCGGAGAGACAAGAGGGGAGTGAAGGGAGCAAGGCGGAGAGACAAGAGGGGAGTGAAGGGAGCAAGGCGGAGAGACAAGAGGGGAGTGAAGGGAGCAAGGCGGAGAGACAAGAGGGGAGTGAAGGGAGCAAGGCGGAGAGACAAGAGGGGAGTGAAGGGAGCAAGGCGGAGAGACAAGAGGGGAGTGAAGGGAGCAAGGCGGAGAGACAAGAGGGGAGCGAAGGGAGCAAGGCGGAGAGACAAGAGGGGAGCGAAGGGAGCAAGGCGGAGAGACAAGAGGGGAGTGAAGGGAGCAAGGCGGAGAGACAAGAGGGGAGTGAAGGGAGCGAGGCGGAGAGACAAGAGGGGAGTGAAGGGAGCAAGGCGGAGAGACAAGAGGGGAGTGAAGGGAGCAAGGCGGAGAGACAAGAGGGGAGTGAAGGGAGCAAGGCGGAGAGACAAGAGGGGAGTGAAGGGAGCAAGGCGGAGAGACAAGAGGGGAGTGAAGGGGATATGGGAGAGGATAAAAGGGAGCAAGGCAGGAGGCGGAGAGAAGGGAGGGGATAAAATGGAGCAAAGCGGATATGGGAGAGGATAAAAGGGAGCAAGGCGGATTTGGGATAGGATAAAAGGGAGCAAGGCGGATATGGTATCATGGAATACGGAAGAGGGAAAGGGGGGGGTATGCTATTCCCCCGCGCCTGCTCGCATGCCATTCTCCCATTTCTGCTCGCTTGTTATTCCCCCGCGCCTCCTCGCTTGCTATTCCACCTCTGCTCGCTTGCTATTCCCTCGCCCCTGCTCGCATGCCTTTATCCCGCCTCCTCGCTTGCTATCCCACCTCTGCTCGCTTGCTATTCCCTCGTGCCAGAGCTATGCATGGGGTAGAGAGGGGAGTAAGGCAGGGAGGGGAGAGGGTAGAGAAGGGAGAAAGAGAGCTATGTATGGGGCAGAGAGGGGAGAGAGGCAGAGAGGGGGAGGGTAGAGAAGGGAGAAAGGGAGCTATGTATGGGGCAGAGAGGGAGAAAGGCAGTGAGGGGGAGGGTAGAGAAGGGAGCAAGGGAGCTATGTATGGGGTAGAGAGGGGAGTAAGGCAGTGAGGGGAGAGGGTAGAGAAGGGAGCAACGGATTTATGTATGGGGACAGGGTACAGGTAAGAGTTGGGAGCAAGGCGCATGACGCGAGGGGATAGAAGGCAGCAAGGCGGATATGGGAGGGGAGAGAAAGGAGCAAAGCGGAAATGACAGTGGAGAGAAGGGCGCAAGGAGGAGATATGAGAGGCGAGAGAGGGGAGCAAGGCGGAGTTATGAGAATCGATAGAAGGGAGCAAGGCGGAGATATCAGAGGGGAGAGAAGGGAGCAAGCAGAGATACGAGAGGGGAGAGAAAGGAGCGCGGCGGAGATATGGGAGGCGAGAGAAGGGAGCAAGACGGAGCGGCGATCCGTTCGACGGTCTGCACGATACGCTGCGCGACGTTCAAGGTACTCTTGTTATTTTGACTAAGTCATTCTTGATCCCCCTCTCTACAAACTCGGACCCGAGGATAGGGGCTGGTCTTGTACCAGGCACCCAAGGACCCTTGGAGGTGACCCCGAGGAGAGGTTTTAAGTTTGATAAAGTCTTAATAGCTTGAGTTTATTAGGCCCTTACACCAACAAGCTGGTATCAGAGCTGCGTTATAGTGATCCTCGTTAAAGGTAGCTATGGCGGGCAACACCTCGACGGGAGCTGGTGAATCTTCAGCCCAAGATCGTAGCGGCAGCCATGATTCTGGTGTTTCAGCGCCAAGGGGAGCGCGAACAAACCAGGGCTCGCTGGTCAAGGAGGTGCTGAAGAACTTCACCGTCGAAAAGTTCAATGGTGAGGGCTATGATGATTGGGCCTGGAAAATGCAATTGTATTTCCGTCAGACCGGCTTGCTGAAACTAAGGATTGGGGAGGAGCCTAGACCGAGTGACCCCACGCTGCAGGAAGATTGGGACGAGCGCTCCTCGGCTGGCTATTACTTGATGTCGCAGAGTTTGGAGCTGAACCAGCGTCACCACGTCATGCACCTGCTGCCAGAGGTTGACTGCGGTCCGAAGGCGTGGACCGTGTTGAAGGAGCTGCACGCCCCGACCTCCGTTGTTGCAACGTTGATGCTGGAGAGGGAGCTGTCCGCGTTGCGCCTGAGCGAGGGAGAGCCGGTGCAACCTGTCCTGGACAAGATGCGCGACCTCTACGTGAAGTTGGCGACCGCGGGAATCACCAACCCGGAGCAGACCAAGTGCTTGAAGATGCTCTCGCTGCTGAGGAGGGAGATGAGGTTGGCCTTGAGTTCAGGAACGAGGAGAACGTCGTGCAGCACCTCCGGCTTGCCATCCGCTCCCTTAAACACAGCTCGTCCCGCACCAGCCACCTTCAGCGCGTGTCCAGAGGCGGAGCACACCTCGTTGATCGGTGCAGCTCGTACGTGGTCCAGGAGGTCCTTGCGCGGCGTCATCGTCCAAGCAGCGCCCGTGTCCAACACCCAATAGTCCAGAGGGTGCAGCTCTGCTCCAACCTTGGCAGATGCGTCTCCTTGCTCCCCATGTTCTCCAATATGGAAGAACTGGCCCGCGGTGCGCTCCTTCTTCTTTTCCGCACCGCCGTTGCTCTTCGGGTTGTTGTCGGACGAATCGGCGACCATGCTCGCGCCGTTTTTCTGGTTCCTCCGCGCGCCGCCATCCTGGTGACGATTCTGGGGGGTCCATCCATCGGGTTTCTTATAGCACAAAAACCAGGGATGCCCCTCCTTCTCACAATACCAGCAACTCCCTTTCATTTTGCCACCAGCACCCGACTTGCCACCACGTCCAGATTTCGCACCACGACCCCAACCGGTACCTCCTTGTTGGTCGTTGGAGTCGTCGTCCTTCTTTGGACCGCGTCCAGCACCACCGAAGCCACGTCCCCTGCCACGTCGGCTCCCTTGCATCCCGTAGCCGCTGCTGCCGTCGTCTCCACCCCTCAGTTGGCGGCGACGGAAGTCCTCCTCCAGAATCTTTGTCCGCACCCACTCGAGTGTCCACGAGCTCTGGTTCTGCGGCAGGCTCAATCCGCTCGTGAATTGAAGCCACGATTCCGGCAGCAGCGAGAGCATCTTCAAGCACTTGGTCTGCTCCGGGTAGGTGATTCCCGCAGTCGCCAACTTCGCGTAGAGGTCGCGCAATTTGTCCAGGACAGGTTGCACCGGCTCTCCCTCGCTCAGGCGCAACGCGGACAGCTCCCTCTCCAGCATCAACGTTGCAACAACGGAGGTCGGGGCGTGCAGCTCCTTCAACACGGTCCACTCCTTCGGACCGCACTCAACCTCCGGTAGCAGGTGCATGACGTGGTGACGCTGGTTCAGCTCCAAACTCTGCGACATCAAGTAATAGCCAGCCGAGGAGCGCTCGTCCCAATCTTCCTGCAGCGTGGGGTCACTCGGTCTAGGCTCCTCCCCAATCATTAGTTTCAGCAAACCGATCTGACGGAAATACGATTGCATTTTCCAGGCCCAATCATCATAGCCCTCACCATTGAACTTTTCGACGGTGAAGTTCTTCAGCACCTCCTTGACCAGCGAGCCCTGGTTTGTTCGCGCTCCCCTTGGCGCTGAAACACCAGAATCATGGCTGCCGCTACGATCTTGGGCTGAAGATTCACCAGCTCCCGTCGAGGTGTTGCCCGCCATAGCTACCTTTAACGAGGATCACTATAACGCAGCTCTGATACCAGCTTGTTGGTGTAAGGGCCTAATAAACTCAAGCTATTAAGACTTTATCAAACTTAAAACCTCTCCTCGGGGTCACCTCCAAGGGTCCTTGGGTGCCTGGTACAAGACCAGCCCCTATCCTCGGGTCCGAGTTTGTAGAGAGAGAGATCAAGTGGGACTTAGTCAAAACAACAAGAGTACCTTGAACGTCGCGCAGCGTATCGTGCAGACCCTCAATCAGATTAAGCTGAGAATTTTCTATATCGAAGCTCGCTCCAAGAGCTTTAAAATGAACCAAGTTGCCTCGCGAAAAGTTCTGCCATTACGAAGTTATGGCTCGGACAGCGTTTGCCTAGTGTTGGAGTGCTAGCGTACTAGCGTTGACTCGGGTAGCATTCCGCCGTCGCACCGCGTAGAAACGAAATTCCAGGAAGGGAGGAATTCGTTTGAATCAAATTGACTATATCCAGGTACACACAGAGAAGGAATAAATAGTTCTAGCTAGCAAGGACCTTGGGAATGAACCTGGGAACAACCAGGGATGATCCTTAATATTCCAAGCAACAGAACCAACCTGGCTAGACAAAACAGCAGGTGGTAGGTTGGTAAACAACCTCTGGTTCTGTTTTTCCAACCTGGGAAAACAACAACCAGGTTCAGGTCCTAAAAACAGAACCTGTTTCGTCTTTGCCCAACCAGCCAAAAACTGGTTCCGCTGGTTTCCCCTGGCCCTGTAGCATGCAGATACAGACAAACAACATCCAACCTTCACCTAAATTGTACCCCTATAGTGCCTTCCCTTCTACACTATAGTCAATCAAACAAAACAGTACAATTTCGAGTTGGATAGAACTGAATCTGCACAATCAATTCAACCGAACCGCAAAGCTTCCATCTTGGGTTCCTTTGCGAGCTCGTCCTTTCAGCTTGTACTGTTCATAGCGCGTACAATGTTGTGCTAAAGCGCACAATGCGCGAGTACCTGCAAATGCTTCAAGTGAAAATTGCGAAAGCAAACAAACACACGAACATTCCATTCACACCCAAATGCATTCGCACACGCATACTCGTACAAACAGACGGCAGGATGTCGTGCAATGTGAATTTGCACCCAAAATGGAGGAGGCATTAGCTGGACCAGATAGGGAGAAGTGGCTGGTTTCTAGGGATGCTGAGTACCAGAGCCTACTAGAGAATGGGACATGGGATCTGGTGGTGCTGCCCGATGGGAAGAAAGCCGTACAGTGCAAGTGGGTGCTAAGGATCAAGGGACAGGTCACCATATACAAGAGTAGGCTGGTGGCTAAGGGGTTTATGCAGAAGGAGAAACGGGACTTCAATGAGATCTTTGCTCCCACTGCCAAACCCCCTACCCTCCGTGTCTTGTTGGCAGATGCAACCGTTAGTGGGAAATTCATCATTCAGATGGATATATCTACGGCATTCCTCAATGGGATTTTAGAGGAGGATGTGTACATGACGCAGCCGCCTGGGTATGAGGATGGTACGTATTAAAATACTAGCGTGAGTTTGGCTTAGGAGCCATAGTTTAGGAGCCTTGGTAGTTAAGTTCGAGGGTGAGGAGAGTGTCGAGAAAGTTGTGGAAGGAGAATGAGGGTTTCACTATAGGTTCAAGGGTACAAATATGAAAGAAGTGAAGCAAGGTGCACCACCTAACAAGCAAGGTAACTACACTAAGTCTACATTGCAGGCAGTTATAAAGTGATGTATACAATAACATTCTGACACACCCCCTAACTGCCTGCAGTGAAGAACCATGTGCAGAAACACCCCCGGAAGGGGTACACCAAGTAGAGCGCAGCAGACAGAGAGGGCAAATGAGGAGGAGAG